TTATTTATATACATATTTATTCAATTCATATTTATTAATGTATATGATATATATATATATATATATATATATATATATATATATTATTAATATATATAATTCATATTTATTAATATATAATATTCATGTTTATTCATTCATATATGTATATATATACATGAACTAATAAATATGTATTTTATATATTTCTTCTAAATCGAAATAATACCTGATTCTTTCGTGATTGAAACTTAGGAATAAATATGGATGAAAACATACAAGAAATAAAACTTTTATCGTTCTTTTAGGATCGATCTCTAAGATCTAGTCACCAATATCTAAGCATTCGAGCGAACTCAGGCGCGCAATAAGCATCGATTTCCTTTCCCTCCAAACAAAATAACAACAATCGAAAAATTTCCAATCGCACTGCGAATAAAAATGGTATGTCAAAGGGGTTAATGACTGGCACGGTTATATTCGACGAAGTATCGCGAGATAAAATAAAAATCGTGGACCGCGCGCAACGTAGCTCGTAGTTTCCACCCCCCTCGGTTGGATATTGGACGAAATTCAGTTAACGATTACAGATATTATTCCTGGAGGAGCGTTGTTTCGCGCAGTTGCGAAATGAGGAGGGGAAGGAGGGTGGGATGGCGAGGTAGGAGGAGGATGCCAAGACGGTATCGCGATGCGGAGAATGATTTCTCCGGGGGAAAATACGTGGCGGTGGCGCAGGTAACCGGTACAGGGGAAAGTTTACCTATGTCCCGGGTCGCGGCGACGGGAAAGTAAAGGTCATTGCTATTTACGGGGGCGGCCTCGGCTTCCGCCCCATTCGGAGCCAAGGACAATATTTTTCGAACGATGTTTCCAACCGCGAACATCCTCCGGAAAGAAAATAAATCTTGGCTTTACCGTTCAATTCCTACGGTCGACGGGTCTCTCCCGCTCGTTCTTCTTCTTTTTTTTCTCTCTCCACCTCCGTTTTTTTTCACGCTCCTCCCGCCGATAATACGGCGCTGACCGTGTCAGCGTCAACGGACGGAGACGAGAAACGTTCTCGGACGACCGGGCGCTGTCCCGTAGACAATGAGCCGGGTTTTTTAAGCGTCGCAAGACCGACGTCACTGTCCCCGATGCGCAATTGTACCGGCGTCACGTGGAATTAACGCGGAACACCGACACGCGGAACGTGATCGTTATCCACGTGCACGGAAATTCGCCAGGGTTCTCCCGAGCTGTGCAATTAACGGAACAATGCCTTCCGCTCCACGTGATGCGCATGCATCATAGCCCTGTGCCCGCGATCCTGCCTGGACGAAGACGGCGCGCGCGGGTCCCGCGGACTTCGAATCGTGGTTTCGAGATCGATAACGGCCCGCGCGATCCAAAGGGTAGCCGAGGCCCGGATCTTAGCGTGGCAACGATCCTGTTCGCAGGACGTTCAGGAATTCCTGGACAACGCGCACCACGGGGCCATCTACTTCTCCCTAGGCTCGAACCTGCAAACTCATCAGCTGCCGGCCGGCCCTTTGACCGCCCTCTGCAACGCGCTCAGCTCGCTCAAGCAAAGAGTTCTGTGGAAGGACGCCGGGGACATGGCCATTCATCCAGCTAACATTAAATTTGTGAAGTGGGCGCCGCAGCAAGCGGTTTTAGGTAAGCCCGTCGTCGAACCCCGACCCTGCCCACCCCACATCCCTCCTTCTTTGATCCGCTAGATTGACCGCTCCGGGATACGCGTTCTCCGCCGCGGCTTCTGATCGAGGCCCCGGCGACCAACGACGATATCCCTTTTGTCATGGAAACATCCCCCGTTTCGATCGTTCGCTTCTTACGAAACGCCCGCGCGACACCTCGCAGACGATTTCCCAGCAACTCAGCTTTTCTCGCGACCCAGCGAAAATTGCGATAATCGCTGGACCGTCGCGACGAATGTTCGACTTTAACCTCGATCGCGTGTCGATCGCTGGGCGATCGTTTTATTTGCAAGCATTCGCGGTTTTAACTGCAGTGGCCACAAAAGTGTTCGTACACCTTCTAAAACGTAATTACTTTTTTAGCGCTCAGCTAAATGATTTGTATTTCTTTTTTTTTAGATGATAGAGATAAATATTATTTCAATATTAGAATATAAAATCATTCAAAATTTAACCAACTTAGTTTTAGTTTAAGTTATTATTTCAATATTAAAATATAAAATCACTTATAATTTAACTAACTTAATTTTAATTTAAATCATTATTTTAGTATTAGAATATAAAATCATTTAAATTTTAAATAACTCTTAAGAGGTTAGTTAAAATTAAATCTCGTTCATCGTCTACTAGACGATGAACGAGATGATCTTTTTTTTTAATTTTGTTATTACTTGAAATGACAGAAAAAGATAAGAAACCCGCGTTTTTGTAACTTTATTATCTGAGCCTATAATGAAAATTTAAGAAATGCCTTTCGCAGATCTCGATAACTTATATGCGTGCTGAATATTTGATCGAAATCGGTCAACCCAGAGTCGAACTACAGGCGTTGAAAGGTTTATAAAACAGCAGATTTCTTACAATTTTGATCAAAATCGTGATAAAACTGCGATTTCTGCGATCTTTAATTTGTTGTAACTCGGAACACCGTGAACCGATTTCGATAAAATTTTCAGCATGCATACAAGTCACCGAGATCTATGAGGGGCATTTTTGAAATTTTTGTTATAAGCTCAGATAAAGAAGCTAAAAAACGAGAGGTTTTTATTATTATTTTTTTTCGTAAACAAATCCTGCTATTATCTAGAAAAAAATTCAAGTCACTTGATCCATTTTCAGAAGAGTTATTACGTTTTAACACTTAGCCGATCGTACGCGCCACAGAGACCTGTACAGTTTCCACCGTGCTCGGGAAAGCCAAACTGCGCTGTCCAGCGAGCATTTTTCTGAGGTGGCACGGACTGAAATTCGCTATTTGAAATCAAAAACGTCCGAAAATGATTTATGTGATCAATTATATCTTACGGTAACAATTCCGTTCAACGATTTCACATATTGCTTATATAAAATTCGCATTTAAAAGTTTATAATAATTATTTTTTAATGGCTATGCAAAAAGTATAGGTAATAGAGTCAGAAAATTAAGGATCTACCCGATCGGTCGGCTAAGTGTTAGAAGGTGTACGAACACTTTTGTGACCAACTGCGTCTGCCGGCAACCCGGCACTTCGAATATCCGGCCGAAATTTTCCTCATCGAAGATATTCGGAGACGAAGGGTCGGATTACCTGGCTCCGGCCCATCCGAAAGAAGCTCTATGAACGATCGCGCAGTAAAGCGAAGACTCAAATAAGCATTCCAGGAAATTCGTTTGAATATTTTAAAGCCTATGACAATGAATGATCTAGCCCGTGCTTAAAGTGATCGGATTAAAGATCCGGGGGCAAAATTAACGTCCACTCGGCATGTGGGTCAGAGAAGAGAGCCGGTTAAATATTAACGACCGGGTCGCAAATAGCTGCGATAACCCTTTTAAAATTTTTCGACGTGTCAGGACACAAATAGAAGCGTCTTGGCGGTCGGGCAATTAAATTTACAGTTCTCCGTTACGGCACCGTACGAGAAGAAGGAAACGATCGATGCGGATGAACGATCTTCTGTGCTCCCCGGCTGTACAACGCTTCTCTTTGATTGGGAGGAAGCCGATAGGACGCCGGCGATCATTATTTTTCGGGCCGGCAGACAGTTGTTGCGCAACCGTGCCCGTATCTCCCTTAATTATCGCGTTTCTATTCGATTTATGTACGGAACTCGTCAAAACTCCTCGCGACGGTCTCGTTCGTTAAACGGAATTCAACAGCGGACCGACCCTGCACGGATACTTAACGAAGTCGCCCCCCGCTCCCTTCCCGACCGCGCCGCATCGGCCATTTCGTTTCGAAGGGATGTTAATTTTCCCGGCCTGCGAGACACCCTGTAAACGACCTCGTCGGCCGCCATTTTCTTTTTTGAACGATCGTGGACTGCGTAACGAACGGGCACCTTTCAAGGAGCACCGAAATTCTCGATGAAAAATCATTTGCAAAAGTGGCGAGACTGTTAATGATTGTTCTTAAAACTGGTTGCAGTAAATTCTCTGCGATTGACCCGCGGTTTGTGAACAAAAGTGGACAATTCGGAAAGAGGAGACGCGTTTATTCGAGCCTCGCGGCTCGTTTATTGTCTACTGTTAATTTTGCAATACCTTTGATTATCCCAATTTCAAGGTTAACTTATAGCGATTAGCTTCTGCGCGGTTCATACAATCTTATAACAAATTCTCTAGTAACGCGATACAGTAAATTTGATTCGACTGTCAACGTATCTCCTGTTCCCAAATTGTCCATTTTTGTTTACATGATGAGGGACAATTGGATGTAATTCGCTTACTGAGATTCTCGCTTTAATGAGATTACTGAGGTCATTCGAAGCAACTTTTTCCTTCACAAAAATTTTCTCCGAGGCACCCCGTTAACGAGTTATTAAAGAAAAACAGTGACTAATGAGAGGCGAGCTCGGCTGGCGCGAGGCG